CACTTTCCCTCCTGGGACCCAGTGGAGGCTGAGGCGACCAGTCTACGGTCTCCGTTAGGCTCCTCGTGAGTGACACGATACCCTTCTTTCTACCCTGTCTGACCTCGGTTTCCAGCCGTCTTCTGCCGACCCGACGCTGTTTGTTCGTCACGGCTCCACACCGTTCTTTGTACTGGTATACGTTGACGACCTGGTTTTTGCTACTGCTGACAAGGTTGATTTGGCTGACGTGAAGTGCGAACTGCATAAGAGACACATGTGCACTGACCTTGGTGAGCTGCGCCTCTACCTAGGCCTGCAGATCACCAGGGACAGAGCCGCTCGCACCATTACACTCTCACAGTCACAAATGGTGCAGCAGGTCCTTCAGCGATTTGAGCTTCAGCACTCCACAGTACAGTGCACACCTCTTGCTGTTGACCACAGACTCACTGGTCCCTTTTCTGACGAGCCGTTTGAGCCAAGTGGTCCCTACGCAGAGCTTGTGGGCTGCCTCATGTACCTGATAACTTGTACTCGCTCGAACCTCGCCTACCCTCTCAGAATTCTTGCTCGCTTTGTTGCGCTAGGGAGACACCGTCCTGTTCACTGGACAGCTGCTGTGAGGGTGGTGAAGTACCTACCGTCATCGCCCGGATATAAGACAGTGTTGAATAGTAGACAGGGGTTGTCTACTATACGGGTGTCTCATATAAACAGGCTAGCCTTTTTATACGACACCTATTTGTGTGTACGAGTTAAGACATATATGTCTTATAATCAGAACTGGGGTTTAGGGGTTTTCTTATAAACAGGGGGTGTCTTCTAAACGAGCCTTCTTTACTTTAGGGGGGTACATGCATACATTCATGAATCTCTACTTCTACCTAACCCCCCTCAGTCACCGCCTCCTCGCCTGCGCTAACAACAGGCTCTACACCCAGGTCTGGCACTCGCCAGGCATGCCTAGCCGTCTCCCTAGGCTCGATCATGCGGTCAGCCTCGGCCGCCGCCCCACGGTAGTTGGGGGTCTCCTGGTACAGCACCTCCAGGCCGGTTGCCACTGCCACCTCCCGCACGCCCTCCGCCTGCATCGCCTCCTCCTCCTCCTCTGGAGCCCGACCGAGCAGGCGCGTGTTGTCGCCTGTGGTCCCCCCGAGGGACATGTCCGCGGAGACATCAGTGGTGCTCCTGGCGCGCAGGTGAGACATCACCAGGTGGTTCTCCGTTCCGTCCAGCTTGCTTGAGATCCCACAGTGGCGGAACGCGTCGATGATGATCTGCTTGGGGACTTGATCCCAAGCCTCCGCGATCCACTGCAGCACCACGGGGTGGGGCGGCCTCCGCAGGTTCCCTGCGGGTGGGTTTGAGGACGGGGCAGTGAGATGTTAGAGACACGGACATGAAGGAGCATGTTTAAGACAAGGACAGGAAACAGAATAGGAATAATACCGTAAATGAAGGACCAACTCACCCTTCTTCGTCTTCAGGTGAATCCCCTCACGCATGAACCACCTGGCGTAGCGTGCTCGCACAGCAGCCTTGAAGCACCGGTTGATTGAGACGTCCAGGGGTTGAATCTGGCTCGTACAACCCGCTGGGATGACTGCAGGGGTGATGCTGTGCGTGCGGTACGACTGAAGCATGGTCTGGGTGATGTGACTGCGGTAGGAGTCCAACACCAGCATCGCACGCCTCGCGTTCTGGCCGCGCTGGGGGTTCAGATGGGGCAGCACCTCCTTGGACAGCCAGGTCTGCACAGCGCTCTCGTCCATCCACCCGTTGTCCTGTGCTTGGACCACGATTCCTGCCAGGCACACAAGGGACACACGGGCTTCAGCACAGTGGGGCACGCTCATCAGGCAGTCGCACGGTTGAATTCATTATGCTTACCTTCCGGAATCTCACAGTTGGGGACGTTCTTCATCTTGAACCACACCCACGGCCGCAGCTTCTCCCCGGATGCAGTGCACGCGAGCATCACCGTCAAGCGCGTTTTCTGGTAGCCTGTAGTGCGGATTAGGACCGAACGCGCGCCGCGGTGCTCGATCGTCCGTTCGGCTGGCATCTCCACGAATAGTGGAGTCTGGTCCGCGTTGATGATGCGGGCCAGGTCGATGTTGTGCCGCGCCCTGTTGATGCGCACGAACTTCCAGAAGGACTCGCAGTCCTTCGCGCACTCTGCAAACGGTACACGCGCAACGGAAACACGGGATGGTTAGACACTGGGTGAGGGACATGCATTCAATAGCCCGCGCGCGACACGAATTCCTTCAACACGCACCTGCCGACAGTCGTTGGCCGACCTTGGTCTTCACCCGCATCACCAGGTTCCAGCGGTCACGGAAACGCTGGCTCCAGTGAGAGCTCGCGTTCCAGTTCTTGCCGGCGTGATGCTTCTTCATCCACTCACGGCTCCACTTCTGGGTGTCCTTCACCGAGATGGCCACCCCGTTAACGCGCCACCCCGTTCGTCGTGGCCGTTCTCCGGCCAATCCTCCTCGGCGTCGTCGCCGTTCGCTTCTTCTCCGTCGTCCCCGTCACAGCTCGCACCGGAGGCCGCGGTAGGACTTCCCGCCTTGCTCGCGTTCTTCGCCATGGCTACACGGATGTCATCGCCGGGCGAGTTAATTCGCCCGTAGTTATTCACCTGCACGTGAGGACGAGGAGAGGACGAGCCTGGGGGTACTTTGCTGCGCATGGTTAGAAAGCCTGCCGAGAGCAAGGTTGAGACGAGTATTCCTAAACCCTTGAGCACCAAATGAAGTGAGAGGCCGACTACCCCCCCTAGCCAGAGTGCCCCATCCACAGGTGCCGAGCCGCTCCTCTACGAGGCATCTCCTCGTAGAGGACAGCCCTCACGCTGCCAACGTTCTGCCAGCAGCGTTCTGGAAGCATCCCTGCGCTGCTGGCAGCAAAACGACGCTGGCAGCATCATTAGATGCTGCCAGCACAGAGGAATATTGTCAGCGGTGGCAGCTCCCTTATGTGGCAAGTGTGGGCGCTGCATGCATCACCACCGAGGTCGGCCTGTTTCAATGAATCTGGTCTCTGGGTGTTTTCTACACACTTTGCAAGTGTTACAGTCAACTTAAAAAAATTTCCATTTATAAGACATAAGACACCCTAAACCATCCCGTTTACAAGATAACTCAAGCATTTTTGCCCGTGTACGAGATAAGACATATATGTCTTATATCCGGGCGATGACGGTAGCGACGGCATCAGGCGTGGGGCTAGTTCTTGGAGGGAGACAGCCGGTCGTTCTTACTGGTCACTGTGACTCTTCTTACGCTGACGACGCCGAGACTCACAGGTCTACTCAGGGGTAGTGTTTCAGCCAGGGCTCTGGAGCTGTTTCGTGGAGGTCCACGCGTCCCTCTTCGGTCTCGACCTCTACCGCTGAGGCTGAAATCTACGCTGGAGCCATGGCTGCACAGGAGCTGCGTTGGTTGACCTTCTTGCTCACAGACCTTGGTGAGCGGCCGAGCTCTGCACCGACCTTGTTCACTGACAACAAGGTGGCGATTCTTCCCTGTCGGGAGCCTCGACTGGAGAATGAAGCACATCAACGTCAGGTACTTTCTTCTGCGAGAGTTGGAGAGGCGTGGACAGGCTCGCTTGGACTTTGTGGAGTCCAAGGCCAACACTGCCGATATGTTCACCAAGGCGCTTCCGCCTTGTGACCACCACAGGTGTTGCTTGCAGTTAGGTCTCGTTGACTCTGGTTCTCGCCTTGTATAGTCGTTGCTTGTTGTCTTGTACTCATTACTTATATACATGTGAACCCTTGAACTGGCCTTGTGACCCTTCGCTTGCGCTCGGAATGTGTGGTGACGTTGTGATCCACCCTGAGCTTTGTTTGTTTGTGACTGGTCTTGTGACCGTACTCTTTTTTCTTTGCTAGACACCCCTCACTTAGGTTATGGGGGTGTGTCAAATGTTGTAGCCTGTAGTGAGGCTTGTCTTAGGGGGTACAAATATTAGGGTTTGCTATATGTACCCCAACTCACATAAATGAAGACACAATCCAGTTTCTGATTGATGGGTATGCACATAGAAAACGATGTCTCGCCCCGTAAACAATGCAAACAATCCAGAGTACTGCACTGGTGCAGCATGTACTATTACAGTAACTGGAAAGCTTCAGCCAAACCCTAATAGAGATGTTACGGTTGCTACGCAGGAGAGTGAATGCAAGTCCGGCGTTGCGTGTACCTGTTGCTGGACCATCAACGACAACAGACGTGTTGCTTGTCTATCGCGTGGTGTGGAACACAGAGCCCTTATTATGTTCCACTGGCAATCAGAAACACCCGACCAGCTGTAACCACAGATGTAAGTATATTTCATAAAACAAACAAGGATACCAAAATTCTGTTTCGTGCGGTACACTTGTGAATGTATATGTGGCAGTACTATTATTTAAAGAATGGCAGTAGTACAGGCCTAGGAAAACAACACAATCTCAGGTGACACTGCACTAGCAGTGCACTCTCAGTCTAAATATGCCTACAACCTAGTAAATATCCACACTGCAGCGGTAAACCCCATGACAGCTGCTATGGCTGAGCTATCTTGGGTTAGAACAGAACCGGGTTAGAAAGGAATGGAACCCAGTCCTCTCATTACCCCTCGAGCTTTGTAAGAGGGAGCAAGTCGGAATGTAACTGCAGTGCATAGATTGAATGGTCCTTCACTGGAGCACCCAGGCTGTCGTCTCGTCATGCTTGACCATCACACCCACTGTTCTGGATCACTGTAATGCCAATGCCCACCGAGGAGGAGGAAGCGGGCGGAGGGCGTATAAGTGCAGAGAGCCTGCAGACCCGCTAATGAAAGGCGGGTTGAGAGACTCGCGAATCAGATTCCTAACCTCATCACCAGAGTGAGACCCCCATCACCAGAGTGAGACCCCCATCACCAGAGTGAGACCCCCATCACCAGAGTGAGACCCCCATCATCAGTTGTTTGACCTTCATTCAGCAACCCATGCGTCGACCAATCAGCTGCGTTCCGCATCAATTATCGTCGTCATCATCCTTGTCGTTGATCTTGTTGCTCCCAGGCGCCATGATCACCTTGGGCCGTTGATTGCACGAGAAGTCGATCTGGTGCAACCCGCGGTTGGCCCCGTGGTACCCCACCGTCTGAAACATGTCCTGAGCGTACGCCCAGATGATGTAAGACGGCGTCTTGAGGTCCATTATCGGGGCTAGCCCGCCATCAGCAACCTTCCGGTAGAACCTGGGGAAGGAGAAGGGGGAGGAGAGGGGGAGGAGAGGGGGAGGGGAGGGGGACGGGAGGGGAGGGTTGATCCCGTGGTACCCCACACGGTCTGAAACATGTCCTCAGCGTACGCCCAGATCATGTAAGACGGCGTCTTGAGGTCCATTATCGGCGCCAGCCTGCCAGACATCCCTCAGTTGTTACTGAGAATCAACCGATTCGACAGCTGCACGCCCGTCTTGGTGTACCTGCCCAGCGTGTACGCCTTCACCTGCCCGCCCGCCAGGTTCCCCTCGCAGTGCCTTTCACATCGACGCGAAACTCATACCGCAGGGGAAGGAGGGATTCTCACCAGAACATGGTGTTGCCGGTCCCAGTCGTCGACGTTCCTCTGTCGTTGCTCAGCGTGAGCCGATTCGACACCTGCACGCCCGTCTTGGTGTAGCCCCCCAGCATGTAAGCCTTCACTTGCCCGCCCGCTAGGTTCCCCAGCACCGCGTCCGCGGGCGCCATGGCGCCTTCGCGCGACCAGCCAACCCCGTACCACCCGTTGTCCACGTTCGTTCCGGACTTGGCCTCCACGGCGACCTTGAGAGTGTTGGTTCCGATGATCTTCCAGTGGAGATAGAGCCTGAAAAGGCGGGATGAGGGGAGGGATTTGGGAGGGGGTTGACTTTGTTGACTCAGCGTAGCCTCCACGGCGACCTTGAGAATGTCGGTTCCGATGATCTTCCAGTGGAGATAGAGCCTGGTCGGGTGGGGGGAAGGGGAGAGGGTTGACTGCGTTGACTAGGTTGACCTCCACGGCGACCTTGAGAGTGTCGGTTCCGATGATCTATAGAGCCTGAAAAGGCGGGATGAGGGGGGGGGGGGGAGGGGGGAGTTGGGACATTGTTGAATTAGCTTGGCCTCCAAGGCGACCTTGGGAGTGTCGGTATTGATAATTAAGTGGAGGGTGAGCCTGAGTGGGGGGAGCGGGGAGGATGGGAGGGTTGACTGCGTTGACTAGCTTGACCTACACGGCGAACGAAATGGGAATGACGTGGCAAAACGGAAGTGACGTGTGAAAAGAAGTGCTGAGCTCACTTGTCCTGCATCAGAGGCGTCGACAAGGTGAATCCCAGCAGGGTCGACGCAGCGCATTTCGAGTCAGCACGGGGGGGGGGGGGAGGAGGGGGGGGGGGGGGGGGGGGGGGCAGCAGGCAGGACCTGTAAGTGGCATTCTTGTTTAGTACTTGTTCAGCAGGGGGGGGGGAGTAAAAAAACTCACTTGTTCAGCACCAGAGGCGTCGAGAAGGTGAATCCCAGCAGGGCCGACGCGTCGCACGAGTTCCCCGTCTTCAGCCCCCCGCTTCCGCCGCTTCCGCTGCCGCCGCTGCTGCTCGTGTTCTTGGCGGGCGTGGTCGGAGGTTTCGGCGAAGGCGTTGCCGGGGATTTACCGGGGACAGCTGGGGACTTTGGGGGGATTGACGGAAACTTGGCGGGAACGGACGGAGACTTAGCGGGAACGGACGGAGACTTAGCGGGGCTGGTTTTGGGGCCCGGCGAGGGGGTCTTGGGGGACGGCGAGGGGGACTTGGGGGACGGCGAGGGGGACTTGGGAGAAGGGACGGCGGGGTTTTTCGGCTTGCTCTGAGTCGTCACGGGCTGGGCTCCCGCGGCGCAGGTGAAATCAACAACGAGCTCGCCGCGGCGGCTTTTCCGGAGCGCGACATCCTCGGTGTTCTCGACCGACCACGCCCAGATGAGGCGGTTCGGGCCGATATTGACTGGCACCGTTCCGTCGTCCGTGGAGCGAGTAAACCTGACGTGGCATAACGGGGTGGAAGGAGAGGAATGAGTGGCCGCGATTCAAAGCAGGATTATCGCAGCTCGGATTCATCTGCCATGGTGGTAGTTACTTACTGGCAAGTCTGATTGAAAACAAACTGCTAGTTTCTCGCGAAATTCTGCTATTTTTTTCCCGCGAATTTCATGCTTAGATGTTACAATGTTCGCTGAATCTCACCTTGCGATGAAGCCGCCGGCGCCGGGCTTTTCGATGCTCGTGTCGCTGAGGTGAACCGACTTCGACTTGAGAGTCGAGCCCGCGCCGTAACCGTAAATGTCATAAGCTCCGACGGATTTACTCGGCAGATTACCAACAATCAAATCTGATGGGAACTTGCTTTTCCGCGCGGACCAGCCCACGGCGGCCCATCCGCTCTTCCCCTTGCTTGTCGGTTTCGCCTCCAGAGCAAAGTCGATCGATGATTGGCTCGTGATCTTCCAGTGCAGGCTCAACCCGCCAAGGCGCGTCAGGTTGACGGAATTCGTGAAGCCTGACAGAGTAGACTGGAGGCAGGTTGCGGGGCCGATAATTACGTCGTTGTCATCGTCCGCCTGGCTCGCTTTGACCTTCCCGTCCGAGGGCTTGGGCTTGGGCTTCGGGTTTACCGTCCCCGTTTGAGCCTTCCCCACTTGGTTCACGGGGCTCTTCCTCGCCGAGCCGCCAAACGACTTCCCCGCCGAACTCGTTCCTTGCGAGACGACAGAAGACGGCGCTGACGGCGTTGACGGCGTTGACGTGGGCTTTTTGACCGGCGCCGCAGGAACTGGGGAAGGCTTCGGTTGAGACGGCGCCGGTTTGGTAGGCGGGGGCGATTCCTTCGGCGGGTTTGGCGCGGGGGTGGCGGAGGGTGTGGGCGGAGGCTGGCTGTCCGGATCCTCCTCGCCGCTCAGCGGGTCGTCAGAGTCAACGGGAGTTACCGGGGGAGTCGAGCCGGCGAAAGGGTCCTGGTCGAATGGGGATCCGCTCCCCGAGTTGCTTTTGCTGGTCGGAGCGGACGGCGGCAAGGTGGGTGGTTTGGTGTATCCGGACGCTGGTTGGGTGTCGGGTGATTGTTGGGTGCCGCCGCGGGTTTTCATGTCAGCGGCATGAGCGCTGAGGGAGGAGACGACGAGAAGAAGCAGCGCGCAGGATGTGACTCTGACGAGCGTTATTTTTCTTCCTGGAAGCCTTTGAATTGCCGTCGAAACAGCCGCCATCGTGCGGGTCGGAAGCGAAGGGAAATACTGATGTTGGTGAATGCAAGGAATAGCTCGAGTGAAACGCGGTCACAGCTCGATTCACGAAGGAAGGAAGCTAAGGAAGCGAGTCCGCCTCTAGAGATGCGAACGCTGACTAACGAAGGCAAGCAGGAGGGGCTGCTTCTTTGGGATCCGCAAGTTTGATAGGTACTGTGTCGAAGAAGGGAATATATTTCTCTCTCGGATGTCGGAGTTGAGGGGAGGTGCTGAAATTCGGTGCGTTGCAATTCTCACGAATGTGCGGCTTGTGATGTGAATGTTTCACACAACGATCAATTCGGAGATGTGCGGGAATTGGATTCTACGGTGCGCGCGCGGACCGCGCCTTGATAAAATGTTGAAACGGGAAAGTTCGAAAAGAGGGGCTGGGTGACGTGTACATTGCAGCTGTTGGGCGAAAATGTCGCACGATGCTGGTGAGAGAAAAGCAGTCGCCAGTAACCTTGCTGATGATGGAATGGACCTGGCTGTTTTTGCAATCGTGTCTTTTCCCGGTTGGCGCTGACAGGCAAAAGCGACAAACTAGGACGACAGCGTAAAAAGCGCAGTCGTTGATCCGTGCCACGTTGGCACCCAATAGTCTTGAAACGTTGCAAGTATTAGCACATTTAACATACAACAGCCATACAAGAGTGGTAAATATTGATATTTTAACCATGTGTAACTATGAGTACATAACTGTCGATCAATACATTTTATAAGAAGGCAGAAAATTACGATTTTTCTCATTAATAAACCAATAAAATTTACATTGGGTTTAAGCAAACTCTGCAAAGATGCTGTGAAGATCCAGAACCTCTGCTATTGTTGAACTTAGAGCTCATATATAGCTAGCAATAGCATATGTCGACTTTGTAAATTACATGGACAGGCAAGAACACTGAGTCGAATACCGAAGCACAAGACTCACGCGAACGCGAGTCGTTCAGGTCTCGAGAAACGACACAGCGGCAAAGGCGCTCAACAGACCACCTTGTTTGGCTTCGTTCGTGAAGTTTGTTCCCACGATTGTTCACGAATGCATCCAGCGTGTCATTTGGAGGGCAGGAATCAGCCCCACAAATCTGACGTGGTAACTGCGGTGCGACGGAAATTCGCGACCCGAGCTCTCAATGTGTTCGCATCTGCTGTCGTAAACTGCACGTTCTTTCTATGCGCCTCGGAATTAGCGCCGCATTTCGCAATTCCTATGGCCATCACTCTCTCCTCCCCCCCCCCCCCCCTCGCCTCCCCCTCCTCCCCCATTCCAGGCTCGTCTGTTTCGGCTCCCCCCCATTACACTAGGGCGCAAGCTTTCCCCACCCCACCCTCCACCTCCCTTCATCACCACCCGACGATGATCCAACCAACCCAACCCAACCCATCGCCAATGCAGCAAGCAACGGGCTGCATCGAGAACAAGGGAAGGCAAGCGACGTGTTTTGTGCTGTCCCACTGCCTGAGGATCTAAAGATTCAGTCGAACGAAATCAGGGGAGCTCCGGTCTGGTCGATACTACACGACTAACGAATACCCGAAATGAGACCCCAATCGAGAACCGGTTGGCGAACCAATCTTGCCGCTCAGTTTCCTTAGAAGGCCCAGAGAAGTCTCAAGTGCTTCCCAAGGCTGAGCAAATTACGCCTATTCTCTGCTTGGTGCAACCCTGCCTCCTCCATTTGCTTGGCGCTCATCCGCGATTCGTAGTTTTTCCCCGCCGCCGCACTCCTCTGGGCGGTCCGCACTCCCTAAGAGAGCCAGCAATCCCACGCGCTGCGCCATCTCCCACCAGAGCAAAACAGGGCGCGCATGAGGGAAAGTGTGTTCAATTTCACTACCATGGAGCGGAAAAAGCTCCGCCACGCCGTCTCGCCGACTCTCGTAACCCTGTTACTGCACGCCCTCGCAATACCTCCCATGCGCGCTGCCCCCACTCCGCCAGCGGGAGGCGCGGCGTCGATCGATCTCGCCTTCCCCTTTCAACCCTCCTCCTCCGCACCGCAGTTCGAGCCAGACACCCTCCCCGACCTTCCCGCCTCCTCGCAACCCACCATTCCGCCAGTTCCCAACCCCGCGACCGTTCCTTCCGCTCCGAGCGGAAGCCCTGCTGCGCCGACCGACTCCCCACGCCCTCCTTCCCCCGAACCGTCCACCTCCCGTGCCCCTGTAAAACCGGGCGTTCCGGATTCAAATACTTCCGCCCGTCCTTCCCCCAAGGGGACCGCCCCTGCTGTTGTAACGCCAGGTGCCGCCTGCCCCGCGTCCGACCTGGACGGATACACCTTCTCGGCTCCGCTCATTCCCGACCAGTAAGATACGCTCTTCATAAACCAGTGATTGCTGCTCTTTTCCTCGTTCGCGAACAGTACGCGCCCTCCCTGCCAGAGTTTTCAAATGTGATTCCTGTAAAAGCCCCTCCCTCGTTTCTTCCCTACGCCTCACTCCTCTCCCTCATGCTCCTTCTTCCTCGTTTCCTTCTCCAGGGTCCTTCTCCTGCTGCCCTCCCGCCAGGTTCCTCCTCCTCTGACGCTTGCGCGCGTCGGCGCTGGAGAATGCGGTGGAGGCGCAGCTGAGCAGACAAATCGACAACTGCCTTAGCTTCTCATGCTCTTGATGCCCCGTTTCCTTCCCCCGTTTCCCTCTTTTGTTCCCCCGTCCCGTTCCCCCCTCCCCAGATTCGTGCTGCACTGGCGGCTGCGCGCGTCGGCGCTGGACATTGCGGTGGAGGCGCGCTTGAGCAGCCAAATCGACAACGGTTGGATGGGCGTCGGCTGGTCGCTCAACGGCGCAATGTCGCCGTCCGATGCCGTCATCGGCAATCTCGAGGGCGGTGCGATCCGCTCGTTCTCGCTGGGCGGCTACACTGCGGATTCGGTAAACGCGACGAGTCACATCAACCTCGGGGATAAGGGTTCGACATCGACGGCTTCGGGGTCTACAGTGTTCTGGTGTGTTACTTTTACTTCGTTACTTTCTCGTTTACATTCACAACTTTGGCGTGCATTTGTGCTAAAACTGCACCCTTCAACAACCATCTGCATATTTCTTCTGTGCTTCACATTCGCGGCTTGTGGGATTAACGAGTCTCGAAACTAACCCCATTACAAGGAGCACCTCTGAATTCATGAGGATGTTGGTGACTGTTGGTGAACAGAAGAAGACCTGTTGGTACAGACGAGCCAGCGGATGTTAGCCAGGCGCCTACTCTTGGACCTTTCGACTAACCTCCCAACCTGCATACGACTAACCTCCTGTGCCAACTGTGACTACGGGGAAAGGAGTGAAAGGGCAGCCTATATTCCTAGAGAGGAAGGATTGAGTAGGACCGCGAGGAAAAGAAAGAGGGAGCCAGAAATTGGGGGAGAAAGACGTCAGAGGGGACAAGGAACAAATGGGACGCCGGGAAATGGAGCCAGAAACTGGGGTTATGGGGTTGAATGGGATTGGTGCGCTTGGAATGCTGGGTGCGGTCCCATGCTCCCTCCATGCACGTGTATGTTGCTTGCAAAGTCTCCTGTGCTTGTGGATAATGCGTGTATTCCTTGTGGTTCACATCCACACCAACACATGCATCCCCCTTTTGTATTCCAGGTTCTCCCGGTCGCCAGGAGATGGAGGCTTGGTGCCGATGCAGCGGTCCGGACCTAACTTCCTCATCTGGGCCTACTCTAGGGACATGTTCCAGACCCTTGGTTACCACAGCACCCATAGGTAACCCTCGGTACCACCACTCCTGGCAGAATGATCTGTCCCTACTGGTGGTGCCCCCGCTCGTTCTTGTGCTTGTCCCGTCTACTTTCATACCAATGTATTCTTATCCCTTGTTCCTGTGCTTGGTCGCCAGTCGCTCTACTTGTTGTCCCTTTACCTTGCTATCCCTCTCCTTTCGCCCACGCCTACCTTACCACTCATTCCCACTTATTATTTTACCCCACTTCGTCATTTCCCCACCTCATTCCCCCTACTTCATTCCCCCAACCTCGTCCTCCCCACCTCATCTTCTTCGCACCTCATCCCCACCACCTGATCACCCCAACCTCATTCCCCCAACTTCATCCCCACCACACTAACCCCACCACCTCATCCCCCCACCTCATCTTCCCCCTGGTAACACAGAGGAGTATCTCAGGTGGACTTCTCATGCAACACTGCACCCCAAGTGCTGCTGGGGGAGGGCAGCCCGGAGGACGACGACCAAGGGGAATTTACCCCGGATAATCCTTACGATCTATCCCTTTCCGACCCTCTGGGGGAAGACGGCAACGATGAGAGCACGGGAAGCAGTAATGGAAGTGGTTACAGCAGTACAGGAGCCGTGCCTCGTGGTAACCAACCTGGCGGGGTGTTACGGAAAGTGTGGAATGTGTTGTTCCCATCATTTGGCTGAGGTAATCGGCAGAGCTGATGTGTGCCTTACTTCATTCGTTGGCGAATCTGATTAGTGGGCGCCATACTTAATTCGTTCGTTGAGGTTCTTATAGTGTTGTAATCCTATATGGTGTTGGTAGTGGTATAGTGGGGCTAACATGTTAGCATTTAGAGGAACTCAGGAAATAACGGTTGTGTAGGAAGATAATAAAGTTTCTAAAGCTTGAACCAGTGCAGCAAACATACAGCTCCTGACTAGGTTAGTGTTCAGACACATCTCCCACAGATACGGTATGAACTAGAATGTTTCAAGCCTACCTACCGGACCAGTATAACAATGAAGTGCTTGAGACATGGTATTTATGATGCAATGAGATTGAATCGCAATTTCTACACAACATTTGCTTGCATAAGAGTAGTTTTCTTGAAAACATAGGCCAGCTGTTACCGTACGAGTACCATTGAAACAGTGGGAGAGGATTGCACTAAGATACTAGTATGAGCGAAGTGCAAACGGCAACGCGATGCTGCGACCTAGTTTATGCAATGCTGGCAGCGAAGTTCGGGTTAGTCTGACTACGTCATGTACATCAGTTCAAAGTTTGGCAAAA